AGGGGCTGGATCCAGGCAAGCCCCTGGGCCTTAGGCTCACCACCCCTGCTCTAATATATATGTAAATAGATAGCTTTGCTGTTGTGGTACCATCATGTAGATCAGGGTGCACAAACTTTTCCAGCTGTGCCACTTCTCCATATCATTTATGGAATCAGTCCATACCCCCTCCATTACTGCACAGCCAAGACTTCCTCAGTAGCAGAGCTGATGCTGGGGGCAGAACAGGGCCAGTGCCTTAACAGTGTTGGGGAGGAGCTGATCTGGGAGTGATGCTGGGAGTGTTGTGCTTTCTTTTGGCATTCCCCTTCGGCTCCCAAGAGTGCTGACCCAGGCCTAGAGGAAGAGCAGGATTGGGGACTGAATTGAGTAGGGGAGGAGTGTGGCTGAGGGCAGAGCTGAGGATTAGGGATGTGAAGGACTAGTCAACTATCCAATAAGCAAGTAATTATAGGACAGTCAACTAGTCACTCTCCCCACCCCTTTGCTACCTCTGAGAGAGAGGCAGTGGGGGGCAGGGGGTAGAAGAGGGGAGTACTTTAAAGTGGCAGTGCTGCATGGAGTCTGGGATCAGCTGGGGGCTCCCCAGCTGACCCCAGGCCACTTTGAAATGCGGTGTGGAGGCTAGAATCAGCTGGTACTCCCTAGCTGACCCCGGGGCGCTGCCCCTTTGCAGTGTAGCAACAGTCTTAGGGCTGTTGCTACGCTTCAAAAAGTGGAGGCGCCCTATCGAATAGTCAATGCAAAAATGCATTGACTATTCGATTAGTCAATTAACTGCTAATTAACATCCTTACTGAAGATGGAAGCATGGTGCTCCCTTCCCATTCCAGATTAGGGTTGGCCTAGCCCTCACTTCATAGCCACCAAACGTTATTGGTGAGCACAAACTACACTTTAAGGGCCATTGGTATAGATACGCAATGCTGTGATACGTTTTTGTGTTTTTTCTGTACCTAGTAGTGAGTCTGTGCCCCTGAGAGGGTAGCTAAATTGACTGGAAACATTCTTAAATAGATCTTGGTGTACTTCAGCTGCAAGTTTAGGTCAGCTTGACTGTGGTGCTTAGGGGTGGGGACTTGAGCTCATCTTTTCCTAGTCATCAGTCTACTCTAAATACCCTCGCGAATAGCATTCTATGTAACAGTAATTCTGGGATCCCAGTAACTCTGGGCTCTATTCCTCCAGAATCTGACCTTCCTGTTAAATATTCATCTGCTCAGTTGTCTGCTGAACACCGAAGTAGCTCTTCTCAATACTTACTCTATACTAGATAAGGCCACTGTTTTGAATCCTCTTCTCCAGTACTGGATGTTACAATGTACCAGGAATTTGTGAAAAGGTAGCCATCTCTGTACATACTCAGATTTCACTGGTCCAGGAGTATCCATGCACATTACTGGATATTTTGCACTCTGCAGGACATGAGTGGCTCTGCCTATTAGAGACCATTTAGAGTTCACAAATTCTTCATCACCCCCCCAGCCTGACTCCCACTGCCAAGAGAATGGTGAAGTAATGCCATGGTCTCTCACAGGATGTGAGATTTTTATTCACATTTGTGCATGATGTGAAGGTGACAATTTTACCTAGAAATGGGAGCTGACTTCTTTCTTTTGTAGTTGTCATATGTGACTACCTTGACATGGGGTGGAGGGTGGCTACTAATATGCAGCAATGAAACCTAGCTAAGGCACCAGCTGTATCCTATGCTCTTTTATTCATGCCTTGACATTCCTGCACTCACATACAGAATTCAGCATTTGCTGCTACTCCACTACAAGCCTAAATTTGGCATAAATAAATGTCTTCATTTTTCTTTCATGCTCATTCCAGAAGGCGTATGGTTTATCATCCTATGCAATATTAATAGAATCATAAGATGTGTATTCAAATACTTTAATATGTTATATAAAATAGTAGTTATGTAACTGGGAATTCAGAGAGGGCAAAGGACAAAAATGAAGATAAAATCTGTAGCTGTACAGTAATTGGATTCCTTAAAGTTCCTATTGGACAACTGCACCTTACTCAAGGTTGAAGTAATGAGAGTTTCTTTCTTAGCTTTTACAGTAGAGATTTCAAAGGTTTTGTGCCAGTTTTAAAATTTCCAAAGTTCAACTGTTTTCCAAATATTCTTACTCTCTGATTGTCATGATATAGTCATCAGTTGTGCATGGTGGGAAGGAGGGGCAAGAGAGCTGGAAATACAGTTCACCTATAATGTTGAGCACTGAAAGCTTTCCTTGAAATTTTATTTCAGAGACTATCTAACAGATGACCTAATCTGTGGAGAAGACTTAAAATAAACTCTCTAACCTTCGTGGGAAGTTTCAGGAGAACATATACATTGGAATCATTACTCATGGCTTCCCCTCAAATTCCTTTCAGTAGTGAAATCTAGTTAAACGGAGATGGGAAGCTGTTCATCAGTGAAGTGACTAGTTTATCCGGTACCCTAAATCAGTGGTCACCAACCCGTAGATCGGGATCTACTGGTAGATCTTGGAGCCTCTGACAGGTGATCCTGACTAGTTTGGCCAAGAGGCTATCTAGCACCTGCACTTCAGTTGCTCCCTTCTCCCCCCCTGCTGCATACCTCCTGCCCTTTGCCTTGGAGCTGCTCCTCCCCCTGGGAGGCTCCTGCTTTCTGTGCAGGGTAGGGGAGTGAGAGGAGTGATGCTAATGTCAGGCTGCTCCTTTTCCCACCCTGTATCATTTCTCTACAGAGCAGAGAGGGCACAACAGGACCTGGGATGGAGTTTGCTGGCTGCTTTAGGGAGTGGTTTAGGGCCAGGGCAGGGGCAAGCCTCAGCCTGCTTTAGCCCCACTGTACCATCAACCAGGAGCCACCAGCAGTGCCCAGCTGGGGCCCACATCCCAAACTTCTACCCCAGTCATGAACCCCCTCCTTCATCCCAAGCCCTTGTCCCAGTCCTGAGCACCTCTGCATCCAAACGCTGTCCCAGAGCCTGTACCTACAACCCCACCTACATTCCAACAGCCTGCCCCAATAGCAGCTCAGCCCCTCACACTCCAGATCCCTTAATCCAAGACCAGAGCCTGCACCCTAACCCTCTGCCCCAGCCTGATGAAAGTGAGTGAGGATGGGGAGGAGAGAGAGGATGGAGTGAGCAGGGGCAGGTCCATGGATAAGGGTTAGGAAGGAAGCAGGGCAGATGTATTTATATTTGCGGTAGATCTTGGATTGCACTTAAATTCAAAAAGTGATCTCGGGCTTAAAAAGGTTGGAGACCTCTGCTCTAAATCATGCCCTTCTTATCTCCTGGGGATCTTGTTGCAGCTGGTGGTTATGAAAAGGAAAAATGGAAAAGGTGGTATATGGATGTGAATTTATACTGCTTTTTAGGATTTGAGTAGGCATTCCAGAAGCAAAATAATATGCCATTTAATTACTTTGGGAGGGGCTTGATGTTGAGACTTTCCTTTAGTTTTATTCAAGTTCAGCTTCCAAATAGAGTCTTAGTTGCACAGTTGTGACATTTTAAAAGGCACTGAGCCAAAATGGAAAGACATAAGTTTAGTATGGTTGAATAGGCTAGCAAGAAAATAATGAGCTTTTAAATTATCATTTGTGACTTGGAATTTAAAATTTATTATTAAATTTACTCGTGCCTTTTTAATGGGGTAAGAGCATAGTAAATTGTAGGGACAGACAATAAAATCTAATGCACTTCTACAATTTGAACTGCAAAAGAATTGAAGAATGAAATTAAATGATTAGAACTAATCAGAAAATTATTCAAGTGGTGATATTACAAACCCACTCTGGGAACCTTTCAGTTCTACAAATGAAACAGCGGGGGCTAGAATTGATAAATTCCTGAACTGCCTAGTTTGTCCCAAACTGTTTGTCCCAAACTGAAACTTCAACCTGACCTAACTTATTTTTCTCCTCAAGAACGTATTACACAGTTTTAATAAGCATACTGCTGGCTACATTCTTGTCAATGAATAAAGAATCTGAAATATATTTTGATAATTTATCACATTGAGGAAACCTGCTGATTGTTGTTCTCAAGGAAGAACAGGATTTGTTTAATTTTGAACTAGCTTTCAGGAGCCCTGACAAGGAAACGAGGAAGGGGCACAATGAGGGACCAAGTGCTTCAACTATAAAATGTTCAGTATTTATTAAAACCTTAACACTTCTAAAAATTAAACAACTTGTCAATATAACACTATGAAATTCTCCTGATTCTTGTACAAGAACACCAGGCAAGCAGTTAACCAACTGGAACAACCCCCTGCCATACCACTTTTGTTTTAATTTTTTAAATGGGATTTTACATCCCTATTTTTGATATTATGCCAAGTCTTTGCGATGAGGAGCATTGGACACCTTTAGAAAAGAACCCAAAGACCTGTAAAAACGACTAGGAGCAAGCCAGCCTAGCTATCACTAATGGCTAGCCTTATGGTGATTGGTATGGCAGCTGCCATATGAGAAGGTGGAAGTGAACCATTACTTTCTGTTGTTGGAGCTGTCAGAAGAATGTCCAGAGGAGGAGAAAATGAAGTAGTTCATCAGCATGTGCAGAAGGGTTAGAAGGCTGTACAGTTGACGTATAGAAAACAGGAATCGAGCTGCATGAAAATGTATGCAAAGGGAGATGGGGGGGAAACTAAATGAAAGTGATTATTTTTCTTCAAAAACCAAACTTTTGTTGGATTAAGTGTCTAAAAAAAAATCAATACTTAATTTTCTAAATAAGTAATTCCTGTATTTGACATGCAGATATTATTCACACAGTAAGCATGATAGACTACACAATATCTGGAATGTTGTCCACATCTGAAAAAGTGGAAGGACCCTGATCTCTTGTGTTTGTTCCTTGTAGTAACATACTGTTTGTGGCAAGGGAGCAGGTAAATTGTTTAGTGCTTCTGAAATTTTGAATCTTCTTTTTTTTTTTTTCATTTTAAAGAATATTGCATAAATAAGGAAATCTAATGAGTTTTTCTTCCTTCTTTATAAGGGTGAAGATGTCAATCGGACACTGGAAGGTGGGAGGAAACCTCTTCATTATGCAGCAGATTGTGGGCAGCTTGAGATTCTGGAATTTCTGCTATTAAAAGGAGCTGATATTAATGTATGTTTTGCAAATTGCAGGCAGACTGACTGTGTGCCTTGTGCAATTGGGTCAGATGTATTAAGAGATTTTGTGAAAGTCTGGGGGACTGTCTCAAATGAATTAATGCATTTCATATAATTGAGAGATCAGTGAGTAAAATATTGTAAGAACAAAATGGAGGCTTGAAGCTTAAACTGACATTAACATCTACAGTGTAATTTACATTCTGTAAAAGTAAATAGTGGTTAGGAAGCCAATCAAGTAGTCCATGACTCTTAATACAGTTAAAAAGCAGAGGGGACCTGGTGTGAGCTAGGACTGCTCAGTCCTGGCTTGCACCTTTTCGCCCCGCTGTGCCTCTGCCTCCTTTGCCCCCTGCAGAGATAGCGCTGGGGGGAACCGGCTTTTAAGCTAGCTTTCCCTCCAGCACCAGCTCCTGCTTCTCCCTCCCCTCCCCCCGGCTGCTGCTTCTGATAGAGGCAGCAAATGGGGAAAGTAACTAGTTGAGTCACTACTCAACTACCTGATAAGCCTAGGCTTTCTGATATATTCTTTTTTATTTCTGCATTGTGTAATTTAGGGATGCAAGCAAATTCCATTTGCTAGTTTCCATTTAAAGTCTGGTTAATGAGAACTAGGATTCAGCAGTCATATCTGACCTTTTTTCAGAGCTTAAGATATGTGAAATTAGTATACAATACTGGGAGAAGATTCTTGTTTAAACTTAAGTTTAAAGAGTGGCTACTAAGGGGAACTTTTTTCCCCCGTTAACCCAAGATTTGTTAGGACTTCAGCTAGCTGGCACTTGTCAACAGTCTGTTACCATAATTCTATGACACTTAAACCTCCAAAATTTAGGAAGTTGATTAGCATTCACCAGTTAAGGACTTAAGTTACAAGTCTATTCTTTGCTTCCTTTGTTAGTGAAAAGGGAACATGTCCACTTCTTCCTTGTGTTCTTTTTTCTGCTTTCCTTCTCTTTCTGTTGCATCTTGTGTTAAACCTGCAGCTATTTTGTATAGTGTGGCACTAATATATTTAACTATTACACCTCCCCTTTCACCCCAGTAAAAACTAAATGGACTTCTCAGCAAGGTGAATAAAACCGACTTTGTTATATAACCAGGCTGTTGTGAAGATAAAGTTCAAGAGTTTTTCAGAGAATTATCAGTCTGCAACAAGAAAATCTTTTAAAAAGTTTGAAATTCCTGGGGGGTTCTGCTTTTTTTGGGGGAGGGGAGTGAGTGCATTGAAAAATGGTATTAACTTTTCAGTATAGTAAACATCAGGGTATATATAGCGCACAGGCTGAGGTATAAACTTTTTGAATACAAATGTGAACTTCAATAACTGTCTTGGTTCCTGTCTTTATAGGCTCCAGATAAACATCATATCACACCTCTTCTATCAGCAGTATATGAGGGTCATGTCACTTGTGTGAAATTACTTCTGTCAAAGGTAAAACTTAATATTTTACCCAGTACTCATTCTTATAACTTGCACATTGATGAAATTCAGTACTCTGACTTTAACAATAATAAGGTGGACCAAGTGATTTGAAAATAGCTGAACAGGACAGTCATTCATGTAATTGGACCAGTGGCTGGCACTTCATCATTATGCCCAGTGCTTGTGGATAAGGGAGAAGCAGTAGATGTGGTATGTCTAGATGTTTGTAAGGCATTTGATAGTCTTGCATGACCTTAACAAACCAGGGAACTATAACCTAGATGGAGATGGAAGTAAAGTGGGTGCATAATGGGTTGGATAACCATTCCCAGAGTAACGATCAATGGTCCGCAGTCATGATGGAAGGGCATAGTGTGGAGATCCACAGGGATCTGTTTCAGTATAGGTCCTGTTTTCTGTCTTAATGATTTAGATAGTACTTATAAAACTTGCAACCCTTCCAAGCTGAGAGGGGTTGCAAGTGATTTGGAGGATAGGATTACAATTCAAAATGATCTGGACAAACTGAAGAAATGGTCTGAGTAAAATAGGATGAAATTCAATAAAGACACATGCAAAGTACTCCATTTCCGGAGGAACAATCAGTTGCACACATACAAAATGGGAAATGACTACCTACAAAGGAGTACTGTGGAGAGGGATCTAGGGATCATAGTGCACCATAAACTAAATACACGAATCACCAATGTGATACTATTGCCAAAGAGAAAGCAAACATCATTCTGATGTATGGATGTATTAGCAGGAATGTTGTAAGCAAGATATGAGAAATAATTCTGCTCTACTGCATGCTGATTAGGCCTCAACTGGAGTATTTTTGTTCCGTTCTGGGTGCCACATTTCAGGAGAGATGTGGACAAATTGGAAAAAATCCAAAGAGCAACAAAAATTAAGTCTAGAGACTGTAACCTAGGAGGGACAAGTGAAAGAAATGGGATGGTTTAGTTTGAAAAAGATGACTAAGAGGGCATGATAGCAGCTTTCAAGTACTATAGGGTTGTTCAAGGAGGTAGAAGAAAGAATTGTCTCCTTGACCTCTATTGATAGGATGAGAAACAATGAGCTCAAATTACAGCAAAGGAGAGTTAGGTTGGACATTAGGAGAAACTAACTGTTGGGGTGATTAAGTACTGAAATTGCCTAGGAAGGTTGTAGAATCTCCACCATTGGAGGTTTTTAAGACTAGGTTAGACAAACACCTGGCTAAGATGATCTAACTGTTGCTTGGTCTTCCATAAATGCAGGGACTGTACTTGATACAAAAAACAGGACTATGTAGCACTTTAAAGGCTAACAAGATGGTTTATTAGGTGATGAGCTTTCATGGGCCAGACCACTTCCTCGGATCAAATTGTGGAAGAAAATTGGTACAACCATATATACCAAAGATACAATCAAAAAAATGAACACCTATGAAAAGGACAAATCAAATATCAGAACAGAAGGGGGATGAGGTGGGGAGGTAAATGTCTGTGAGCTAATGATATTAGAGGTGATAACTGGGGAAGCTATCTTTGTAATGGGTAAGGTAATTGGCGTCCTTGTTAAGACCTAGGTGTAAAGTGTCAAATGTAAGCAGTTCAGAGGATTCTCTTTCAAGCCTGGTGTTAAAAGGTCTTTGAAGCAGGATGCAGGTAATCAGGTCATTGAGACAATGCTCTTTCTGGTTGAAATGGCAAGAAACTGTTTTTTCTCTGTGATCCTGTCTAATATCTGTTTTGTGGGCATTGATTCTTTGAAGTGTCTGACACGTCCAATGTACATAGCAGACGGACATTGTCGGCACATGATAGCATAAATTATATTTCTGGATGAGCAGGGCCTGTTTTTTGTTTCAGCTAGACCAGACTAACATGGCTACATATCTATTCCTATTCTACATGCAGAAGACTGTACTTGACCTCCTTCCAGTTCTGATTCCATAATTACAGCACGGATGCACTTTCAGAGCAATCTTAAGCTATACATTTCATAATTTCTAAGCGTATTCCTGATACTAACTTTAATGAAATTTCAAAATAGTGTTATCTACCCATTCCTGGTACATACCGTGTTCAACACTTGTTAAACAATGCCTTTTACCCCTTAGCTTAGCTCACAGGACACATGTCTGTAAAATATCAGGTGATCTTGACTTTTTCTTAATTCTACTTTGAGGGCACTGCAAAGCTCTTTAAATCTCATCAGTTGATTCTACCTTCATCTTCTGGATTTGAAAAACCACTACATTTCTAAGTAACTTGATTAAACACAAGATTTCACTATTCCTCCTACTTACTGTCATGGCGAAAGCCTAATCTTATATGAGCCAAGCAGTGCTTCCATTCCTGATCACTGTGTAGCACCCTACACCCTCTGATTGTTCAGGACCCAAATAACACTCCTTCAAATTCAGATCTTTCAGATTTCCAAACAGGCAGTCTGGATAAAAGCGCTGTCCAGGAGTCAAGCTCCTGTATTTCTGTGTACCCATAGGGTTGTTCCTGGGTCACATACTAGTCAATATTCTCATTAGACTTTGATAATGGACAGGAGAGTATCCTTATAAAATCTGCAGATACCACACATCTAGAAGCAGTTGCAAGCACTTTGGAGGATGGGGTTAGAATTTTAAAATAACCTTGACAAATTGGAGAATTAATCTGAAGACAAGTGCACTACTAATACTCAAAGGAAGAATCAAATATCCACAAATTACAAAATGGGAATAACTAGCTAGAGAGTGGAACTGAAAAAGATGTGGTAGTTCATAGTCATTTGCACTTTGAATTGTTGTGTGATGCAGTCAGCCATCCTGTCCATAAGAGTTTGGGGTGGCCCCCCATGGGCCCTGCACTTTGGAGTGGCCCCCACAGTGGCCATCTTCATGGTCTTTTGGACAGGATGGTCCCTCCCTCCATATTAATGGGACACTCCCTCCTGACCCCGCAGTCAGCACAGTGTCAAAAGCTATGGGCAGTGCAGCAACCCCATCTCCCAGTTTGGTCACTCCATTTCACCACAACAGTGGGAAGCTGACCACCCTGGCCTACTCTGCTCCCCCAAGTGATGTGGGCTCTGGGGAGCAGTGGTCAAGGGCACAATCCCTGCTGCTGCCAACGCCAGGCCCCTTGGTAATCTCTTGGCTTGCCTCTCTTGGGAGAGGGGTTTTTGGGAAGGGGTGGAATGGGCATAGGGCCTGGCATTAGAGGGATTGCCCTGGATCCTGTCATCCCCTTCAGGACAGCCCTGGATGCAATCATGGAAAAAACTAATATTCTGGAGTATATTGACAACAGTGTTGTACATCAGACCTAGAAGGTAATAGTTTTGGCACTGGTGAGACCCCAGCTGGAATAGTGTGTTCAGTTTTGGGCACCATGTTTCAGGAAAGATGTGAACAAATTAGAGAGAGTCCAGGGAAGAGTAACAAAGATAATAAACATTTCAAAAATCTGACTGAGGAAAAGTTAAGTTGAGAATGAGGATGGGGATCTGATAATTCTTCAATTATGTTTAAAGACTCTTATAAAGAGGATTGTGATTAGTTGATCTCCATGGCTACTGAACATAAGACAAGGAGTAATCCGCTTAATCTTCAGCAAAGGAGATTTAGGTTAGATATTGGGGAAACTTTATAACTACAGCCGCTCTCTGAGTTATGAATGAGTTACGGACCAAACACTTGGCCGTAACTCGAGCTGTTCATAACTCGGACCCCACTGAGTTACACGTGACCGCGCTGTTCGTAAGCACGTGTTGCGTTCGTAACTCGGGGACCGCCTTTACGACCACTCCATGGGAGCTTTGGTCATAAGTGCAAACGGTCATAACTCGGGGAGCGGCTGTAAAGTAGGAATAAGAGATCCTCTGGAAAAGGGCTTTATTCCGGAGGATCACGCCAGTCTAGATGCTTTTTTTCCAGCTTTTCCCCAAGCCGGGGAAAAAAGCGGCGGATATGTTTATTTAAATCCGCGGGGGATATCCGTAGCCCTAGTGTTAGCTCATGACTTAAACGTCCTATTTCATGACCAGGTGTGTTAAATGGTATGTTTTCCAATACATAGAATTCTCAGACTTTTGGCTGTTTCTGTGTGAAATGCTTATATTCTAATAAGCCCAATGCAGCTGATAAATTCAGGTAAAGTAGAACCAATCTTCTATCTCTTCAGGTAGTTTTGTGTTGCAGCTGTGTTCCCACTTCTTTCAATTAGCCAGTACTGATGTAAGCAATGGATTCAAATGTCGAATTTTCGGGCATAAGCTGTAGCTGAACTTTCTGACCAGAACAGTTAACTATTTGAGGCTGTTAGTGGTTCCAGGCCAAGTGACGTTATCATGCTTTGTCTATTCCATGATCATATAAGAGGACTTCAGAACCTGGTGTTCTCTTGGAAATAAAAATAAGTTTAGATTTTTAAGGTGTAAGGCATCTTTTTCAACTTAAGCCTGCATGTAGTCGTACATGTTCATTTTTTTGTTAAACTTTGTCTGGTAATCCTATGTAACTGCTTCCAGCTTACTCAAGGGAAAGGTTACGTTTCAGCTGAAAGACGCACTTATCTCCCAACTTCTCTCCCAACTGCTGAAATAGACTTGCATGCATGGAGGCTGGGGGAAAATAGCTGCAGTAGTGTTTCTATCTTTTTCTTCTAAACTTCTAATACTGAATATTTTGTCACAAAATAGGACTTTGAATCCCCTATTTACTGCTGCTTTGCAGAAAGGATAAAACATGGAGGCCTTTGAAGGAGTAAAATTGATACAGTCCCAGGTAACCCTAACAGATGATGGTTCTTGCAAGAATATAAATGTCAGCTGGAAGGCCAATATGCTTGTAGCAAGAGCTTGAGAAAGGTAGCTGAATTAGTTTGTAACAGGAAAAAATTAAACAACAAATAGTCTAGTAGCACCTTAAAGACAAACAAAATGTGTAGGTGGTGGTATGAGTTTTCGTGGGCACAACCCACGTCTTCAGATGACAGGAGTATTAGTTGAACTGGTAAACAGTAACAGTTGTCTTCTGGACCAATTCTCTATGTATGTATTAATCCTGCTACTACACTTTCCCTTTCAAACCAGTTTCAGCATTCTACATTTCAGATTGTAATATTTTGCATTCAGTGATGCTTCCAAGTGGATAGTTGGTCTAAGTTTATTGAAACTAAGAAGAATACCAGACCACTTTTATGCCTGTAATTGAATTATGGTAACTAATGCAGAGTAAGGAATCGAAGTGAAGAATAACTCTCTGAAGTATCTTGGAAGTGGAAAAGGTGCTGAAACCTGTGAACAATAAATGTCCCCATGCTAATTAATTTCATGCCACTTGCTGCAGTATATGGGTATTGAAGCTTTCATTTAAAGCCTGAGATTTGTAATGTCAATACATTACTGTTATACAAGTCTCTCAGAAGAACTTGGTTAGTGTATTTTCTGTATCCCCCAAAAAGAGTGCAAAATATAGCTGTTATAAAAGTGAAGCTATAAAGTTAGGTTTAGTCAAGGTGACCTATAGTAATCAAAAGCTTTAAAAATTCTGGAGAACAATTTAACTGATGCAGGAAAACTGTTTGCTTTTGCACAAAGCATAAAAACAGTTCGCTTTAAACTGATTACTCTGTTTAGAAGCAGTAAAAGGATTTAGGCACAACTTCTTCCATACATTTCAGTAGCTTATCAGAATAAGTTACGGTCCATTGAAGCAAGAAGCTTTCAAGCCGTGAGCCATCAAGATGAGATTGCAACTGGGGAGAAAAAAAACCTTGACAGCCTCTTGGAATTGCAGGACAAAAATTCTGGACCATTTGGTTTTTAAAACTTAATGGTTAAGCTACAGTGTCCCAGCATTGGGAGTCATCAAAAACTTTGAGCCTTGCAAAGTTTATAGTTTATGCAATTAAACACCAATTTAATCAAATGCAGAGTTTTCTAAAACTCAGTCCTCATGGTTGAAACTTCTATAGAATTTGTACTGCAAACTTTGTACATTTACATAACTTTGCAATTTAAGTGGGGTTGCCTGTATTTAGCTATGTATTGGAAATCTGAGCTTCCACAGGTGTAAAAAGTACACTAAGGCTGACTGATTCCAAAACAGTTGTTGTAATTTTATTTGACTTGTGCTAAATTAGACTTTCTCCAAATTGTGCAGTTGTGTTGGTGGTTTCACTGACAGTAATTTTTAAACTTCTAAAATAGGTGACGGTTGACTTAGTTTAGATTTTTGGATCTAGTCCCTTTAACACCTTCAATATGGATAGTTGTCCCTTAATTCACATTATGCAAGGCATGTGACATTGATAAATAAAAATAAAGGAAACTGACTTGAGGCTGAATGTTTATCCTTCATCTGCCTTTTTGGAGTCAATTCAGTTTGGTATTGCCTTCAATACCTAGATACAAGGGGGAAGATGGAGTGAAACTTAATTCTTGCCTCCATTTCTTATCTCTTACTTTTTTTAAAAAAGGGCCGGATTGTAAAATAGCATGTAATATGCAATTTCTTTAAAAACTGCAGCACCTCAGTTGTTACCTTCTAAACTTGTCCTGATTAGACATGGTGTACTTGTCTTGAAAATCATCACAAATCTTAGCAAAACTGTCTAATCACTGGAAGGGCAAAGTAGATAACCTGCTGTAAATCAGTACTGAGTTTACATAGTGATTGTCTAGTACGTTATCTGATCTTATTATTAGATGTCCAAAATATTTCAATGAACCAAATTAAAAATACTTGTTACTACAAAAACACTTACTTAAAAAATTTCTCAGCTATGCTAATTGTAATGATGTAGCTCTTGGCCCACTTTGTATAGCCTATGTGGCTGGGGCTATGCCCTCCAAATTGCTATAGGTGGGAGAAGCAAGGGGCTGGTCAGCAGCCAGAGTCCTTGGCAGCCAGGAGAGTAGGGCAAGCTGGGATCTTGTTGCTCCACTCCTGGGCTGTGTCTAGACTGGCCAGTTTTTCTGGAAAATCAGCCGCTTTTCCGGGAAAAACTTGCCAGCTGTCTACATTGGCCGCTCGAATTTCTGCAAAAGCACTGACTTCCTACTGTAAGAAATCAGTGCTTTTTGCAGAAATACTATGCTGCTCCTGTTCGGGCAAAAGTCCCTTTTGCGCAAAACTTTTGCGCAAAAGGGCCACTGTAGACAGCAGAGATTTGTTTTCCGCAAAAAAGCCCCGATCGCGAAAATGGTGATTGAGGCTTTTTTGCGGAAAAGCGCATCTAGATTGGCCACAGACGCCTTTCCGCAATAAGTGCTTTTGCGGAAAAGCGTCCGTGCCAATCTAGACGCTCTGTTCCAGAAATGCTTTTAACGGAAAACTTTTCCATTAAAAGCATTTCCGGAAAATCATGTCAATCTAGACGTTACCCTGGTGAGTAGCCAGATCTCTGCTACTGGCACCAGACCCTCAGCTCTGCTAGTCTCCAGATGACAGCGGGATGGGGGAACGGGTCATCAGCATGGACGCATGTCATCTGCCACTAGCAGAGGGTTAACTCTTTTTTGGTGGTTCAGTTTCTATAGATTCTGCACAGGGGTGTACCCCTCTTTAAGACTTCTGAAAGCATGCTCCACACCTTGTCCCTCAGATTTTGAACGGCACTTGTGATTCTTAAACCTTGGGTTGACTGTTGTAGCTATCTTTAGAAATCTCACCTTGGGAACACACACAGTACCAAATCTGAAGTGAAAATGTTCCTAAAATGTTCAACATCACCATCAGCAACTGCTATAACATGAAATATATAGTAGAATATGGGTAAAATAGAGCAGGAGATATAATTCTCCCCCAAGAAGTTGTCACAAATTAACACTTTTTAAACGAGAGTCATCAGCATGGAAGTGTTATATCTAGAATGATGGCCAAAGCGTGAAGGGGCATATGAATGTTTAGCATATCTGGCACATAACTACTTTGCAATGGCAGCTATAAATGTGCCATGCAAACACTTTCAGGTCCTGTTGTAAATAAGTAGGCATTATCGCCCAGAAATGTAAACTGACTTGTTTGGCTTAGTGATGGCTAAAGAAGTAGTAGAACTGAGTGGATATGGAGGCTCTAAAGTTTTTGTTTTTTTGACTGCAGTTATTTAACAAGTATCTTGGAGTTGCATTTTCACAGTAGATTGCACTATAAAACTTGTATGAGGTGAACAGAAAAAATATTATTTCTTGTATTTTTTACTGTGCAAATATTTATAATTAAAATAATAAAGTGGGCACTGTGTACTCTCTAATTTACATCAATATATTTAAATGTAGAAAACATCCAAAAATCTAATACATTCCAGTTGGATTTTTGTTTAAACGTGCAGTAAATCCAGATGAATTTTTTTGAGTTAATCACTTGAGTTAACTGGCTAATCAACAGCTCTTTTTTAACTTAATGTTCTATAGGATTCTTTTTAAAAATTAGATGGTTAGTCACTCAATAAGTAATTCTTATTCATTATATGAGAATGTGTCACTTAGGAGATAACAAAAGAAACTTGACATTGTGGAGGCTCAGACTAGATTTTGTTTGCTATACATGCCCATACACAATAATTGTACTATCATTGTCTGAGGAAACTGACTTTCTAATCATTAGAAATTAGAGATAGTGCTGACAGCTGAAACCATAGTAATACACACAAGAAAATACTAGGATTGACAGTCCTAATAAGCAGTGTTTTATGGAGTGGCTGAGGGTAGATACATAGAAAAAGAATATAGCTAAGTTTCCACTAAATGCAGAATTTTCCACTCTAAAATCCACCTCCACAACCAACAGACACACAGCTCTGGACAGATCTGATAAGTCAAAAGCTAAAGTAGAATTCATGAAGAAAATTCCTAGTAATTTGCAGAGTCTTTGAGAAAGCAAACTTTAAATGTGTTTTAAGAAGCTGGAAACTTTTTTGTAAGCTCCTAGAGATGAAGTCATCTTAATTGTCATTTTATTTGACTCCTTTAGATGAGAGCGAGTGCATGGTATTGTAAAGGTCAATTTAACTAGTAGTCTACTGTTCCAAAGATTTCACCCATAGATCACTGGTTGGTAGGCCCTATTCAGCTTCATTCACCACTTCGGCACCGCTCCCTGCCTGGTCCAAACTTACCAGGTACAGAGCACCTTGAAAAAGTTCCTGTTTGATATGCCAGTGTTGGTTCATCTGTGGCCTCAGTCCTTTGTCCTTATCAGAATCCCATTTATAAGTCTGTGCAGGACTCTACTTATTAATTAGACACTACACAATCATCCGAGCCTTTTAGATTATTTTTAAGCATTAAACCAAAATAAATGTATTGTCTCACATTACATATTGAATTATTTACATAATTTCTTTTTATAGAAAAATTTTTAGCGGATGTGCCACATTCTGAGCTTCTGCAAGGGGAACAGAACTGAAAACTCAGTACCAACTCCTGGACCCTGATGTGTTCTGGGAGGGGAGAGATAGCAGAGATGCAGAGCTGACTTGTGGCACTTCTGACTGCATTTGCAGCAGCTCCAGCTAGCTAACCAGCTGTGTGATTCACCAGACTTGGCAAGCTGTGCCTGAGCCAAAATGATAGCACAGTTTCTGAGGTAGTTAACAGGAAGTCCTCATCTTATTCTCTCCCTCCACCCAAGATGAGGGGTTTACTTAACTTTCACAGGAGCTGAAATGCAAACTTGACTTCACTGACTGACTGTGATCTATCTAAAGATTACCATTAGGGGAATTGTAGGTCTGACAGGCTTATCAGATAGTGTCAGCCGACGGTCAGGGCAGTGTGTAT